GTCCTTTGTGTTGTTTTTAACTTTTCTAGAAAGCTTGGACTCACTCATTCTGTGCTTTAGGTTTTCTGACTTTCTCCCTACATGCACTGACTCTTGAATCCCTCTTTGGTGATCCCCCCATTTCCCATTTCTTGTACACGTCTCAGTTAAATCTTAGCTCAATTGAAACTCCTTTAGACAACCATTCTAGTTTCTCCACTTTAGCTGCCTAAATTGGTGCCCCCAGTATCTCACTTTTCAGAAACTATCCTCTATCAAGAACTCCCTTTTAATAGACCATAGGATCATAACCAGTGTTTTCTGAAATCAGGTTTCTTAAAGTCGCAAATGTGTGTCTGACTACACAGCTTTCCCTTTCTATTATATAGAAAGCTAGAGACTCCAGCCATATAGAGAGCCAGTGACTGCTAGCTCCTTCCTCAACAAAATCTCTGTTCAGTTCCTCTCAGGATGGATCTACACTGCCATATAATCCAGATTATCTTCTTTGAACTGGATTATGTGTATACACTGCCATATAATCCAGTTCAAAGCAGATTATCTGGATTTTATATTGCAGTATAGATGGGGCCACAGTAGAGGCCGGGTGCCCAAGACCATTTATTCAAACAGAGGACCTGGTGTTGTACACATTCGAACACCAGCATGAACTCAAGCACATTTCCACTCAGCCCACACAAACAATTCCACCTTAACCCAAGAGAGCTCAATAGAACAACAGAACAACATGCACACAAGCAAGCAGTTGTCCTCCCAATTTACACAAATAGCCTTAACCCAACAGACACAGCAGCCTTAATCCAATTAGCAATTCCTATTTGGGATGTTCATCCAATAAACAAGTGTAATTTGAGATGTCCAACCCAACAGAGAGAAGCTCACCTTCTGCTGTCCCTTCCACCATACCCACAAAAAAACACCCCTGTTGGCCTACTCTGATAGCCAAGCTTCTGTAAAGCAGAATTGGCCCTCCACAAGTTACTGGTACTAGGAAGCACTGGTTGTGAGCAATGGAAAAGGCAGAGCATGGTGGATTCTATTTTAGGTGGTGCCGCTTGCTCCTCCTCAGATATCTGTGGTTTCTGCAAATTCTGGGAAGGAACAGGAAAAACTAATCAACGGGAAGCAGCAAGATTTGCCAGTGGTTGGATCTGGAGGTTGCCTAACCTCTTTCCTTCTATTAACAATAACGTGTTTTCTATGGATTGTACTGTCTCATAATTTTGGGGGCAGGATAGTATGGGATCCAAATCCAAGTGAAATGAGATGGGGTTAACTGCTCATCAAGAAGGTAAAATGATACTCTTATAAGGACTTCATCCCATGCAGTCTTCACTCTGTTTCGCTGTGCTGCCAAAACAGAGTCCCACTGAGGACTTCACGTGACATAAGGCAATGTATTGTCGAGGCAACTTTCGGTGGTTGTCCATGGGATAGCATTGTGGAAGAGCAGGGAAACAGAGCCAAGATTGTGTGTTCTTCTATTCTCAACGCCAGTAAATAAAGATGGGAGAAGGACATGGGATGGCTAACATCCCTGAATATGGAAAAGCATGAAACCTCGATAGTAGAGAACAAAACAATATGGTTCCCTCCGTTTTTCCCCCCTTCCATGCCTCCCCCCCCCCCCCCCGCCCATCGCAGGTGAATGACTAACAGTGAACTGGGTTAATGGCAGCTCATTGGTCAATAGGTCAATGTCAGGATTTGGATCCATGTGATCACTAAGCCTATTTGAGAATGTAACCAAGAAAGATGTGGCTTTTTTATCCCAATTTAAACTTTGTGTTGGCATTGTTAAGTGGAGTGACAGTTGTAACGGAGTCCACAAAAGGAAGCCACAAATATGTGTAATACCACAGTTTTCGCATTGGCATTAATCTGCTACTGAATAAGGAATACTTTGCTGCCCATCCAGAATACAACTGAGTGTGAGGAATGTTATCTATTCGGGTGGTTGTAGGTTTTTTTCAGGCTACATGGCCATGTTCTATAGGCATTCTCTCCTGACGTTTCGCTTGCATCTATGGCAAGCATCCTCAGACCTCACTACCTCTAAGGATGCTTTCCATAGGTGCAGGCAAAACATCAGGAGAGAATGCCTCTAGAACATGGCCATATAGCCCGAAAAAAACCTACAACAACCCAGTGATTCCGGCCATGAAAGCCTTTGACACTTATCTATTCTTTTTTTTAGTGGTGTTTGTACAGAATGAATGCAGAATTTCAGAGTTAATCAGGATACTTCTTGAGTTAACAACAGAGGATTGAAAAATGCATTACTTACTGTATTGCACATAATCTCTGAACAATGCAGTAATGTGACTCAAGAATCCTTGGTAGACAAGAGGCATAGTTTCAAAACATTTTTAACACTCTTCAAAATGTAAATAACAAAGACATTGTGCTGAATAGATACAAGGTTTTCAGAGAGTATTTAATAAAAAGGAAGGAGGGGCAATTTAAACAAAGAACATGTCCCTCCATAGGTGTCTTGAAAGATAAAGGAAGAATGCTGTTCTTATCCTCCGCAAAGTTAATAGGGCTGAAATAAAACATAAGAAAAGAGTATTTTAAAAATCCGATATCATTATTGCTGCCTTTTCAGCTGCAAAACTCCCCTTAGCAAATCCAAAGTATATTTTCGACTAACAATATGGGACCTTGATGTATGGTGTTACATTTATAAATAAATAAGCAACAGTCTACAAAGCATTTCAATTAGGGTGTTTTTTAGGTTCAAGCAAAGTTATAGGGCAACTAAGGTTCTTATTCCATGTAATCAAACTCCACTACCCCACACCCCAAATAAAAAAAGATTTCTAGTTAGGGATGTATAGTTTTACAAGGGCAACAAGCCAGAATAAATTGCAGCTGTGTCCTCTCTTTTGCATACAACTCCCAGGTCTCCTCATCACCCCAGACCCCTCTCTCCCCTCTATAAACTATATTTTATTCCTGTAAATCTATAAAAACTTGTACTATTTTACTTCTGGGACAGAAAAACCTTGGTCAGAAAATCATCTGTTGTTTCACATTGAGAAATGGCTCCCAAGGCGTGGCTCAAGACAAAGGGGACTTTGGGTCATTGCAACATCCTTTATCTGACTGGCAAAACAAAAACAAACAAAAAAACAAGGGACATAATCATGCTTAGACATCCAAAGCCAAAAACTTATATTTATCCATCCTTATCATTTTTATCCTTTTATATAATGTATCTATTTCCCAAGTCTGAAATGTATAAACTGTACTTTTATTTTGTATTATTCTTAAATGTACTAAAATAAGAAACTAAACTGTCTGCTTAAAGCCAATTAAGAATATTCTTAGCCCCAGGCAATAGATCCACTGCAACCTCAGACAATGGACTTCTGAGTACTCATGAATTTTCACTTGTTAACCAAATCCCCATGCTAAGTCTATGAAACGCAAAAAATCAAGAGTCCCTCCAGAACTGCAAGCACTATCTCAAGCAAATATTGACAATTTATTCACACTGTCATTACTTGCAGCAATAGCCGATGTAGTGAAGCAACCAAGTTGGGGAGAGGGTGTTGAGTGCTCTCATTAAGGAGGCCACACTTGGTGGAGGTGGTTGACAGGGGCGGAGCTGCAGGCTATTGAAGGCTGCTCTGCCCCCTGCTGTGCTCTTTGCTTCAGTGTGACCTAGGAGGCAGGAAATTTTCAACCCCCCCCCCGAAATGTTCAACTCTCCCCGATTTTTTTTTCTGGCTATGGCCCTGATTGTGACGTTTAGTCCTGCAGAATTACAAAGCCCATAGTTCTGTTTGCCATTCCTTATCACATATTGTTCTTTCTTGCATTTTCTCCCAAAGTAATCCATTTTCATATTTATCATACCAGTGAGGGCAGTTCCCGCTCACTCCATTTAAAAAGAAAACCTTCGGGGGGACGGGGGACTCTGTGGATACCGAGACTTTTTACTCCCTCCCATCCTGCTGCTCCAGAGGAGAATGGAAGCACTGACTTAAAGAGACTGCACTTAGGGGATATCGGCTTTTCTCCAATCTCAGTACTCTTCATTGTAGAAATCTGAGATTTAAAAAGATAGCAGTACAGACTGGAAAAAGATATTTTGAAATGTTGATATTTTGAATTGTTACATAAAAAATTACCATGCCAAGCTCATGAAGCAGGTTTTTGGGAGATAAATGTCAATATATATATATATATATATATCTGACTTGTTGAAGGCTTTGTACTGCTATCTTTACTTAACTTCACTGTAGCAATTCAACCTGGGCAAATTTGACAGCTCTTATCCCATGTGTTTTTTGGGTGTTTTTTTCCAGTTATATCCTGATTCCTGAGTCCAGATGATTTCTGACCATCTTTTCTCCACTCCCTTTTTTGGACTGTTTCAGACACTTCCCTAGCAAAGCATGATGGAGTTGACRAGAAGTCCCCCAGCATCATGGGAAGAGCTCCATCATACATCATACCATCAATGGAGCCTAAGTGCTTATAAACGGGGGGGGGGGGGGGGGCAGTCCATAGTCTGAATCAAAATACTTTGACTAATTAGAAAACAGAAAATAGTGTTGTAATTGAGATATTGRAAAAGGCCTAGGACAGACCAGGGATGAATGCACATTTGTAAAATAAATCATCCTTGGATTGATCTTGATCCTGTTGGTACACATGGTCCTCCAGTTTTGAACTGAAAGCACTTCTTTTATATGCCTGGGGGCTTTAATATGATTTTTTCAGTTTCAAGGAAAGAGCAGCTTTGGAAACTACAATGTCACCAGTTTATTGTTGTTTGTTGTGCAACTGAAAACGTGGCTGTTTATTACTTCAAATGTAGTGCCCATGATTTTAATATTTTTTAAAAGCATGTTCGTATTTTTAATATATTTCTAGTCTATTCAATTATTTTAAACTGTTTACACATGACTCTTGAGATCTTTTAATACAGGGCAGGATATAAATGTTTTAGTAAATAAACAAATACATTGTCTTATTTTATCTTTCAGGGTTTGGCATGACCACACCGGCCACCATTGCAGGCAAAATTTTCCTGATATTCTATGGCCTTATAGGCTGTGCAGGGACCATATTGTTCTTCAACTTGTTCCTGGAGCGCTTGATCACCATCATTGCGTATATCATGAAGTCCTGCCATGAGAGGCGGCTGAGGCGGAGCGGGGCCCTTACTCAAGTAGTCCAACAAGCCTCTGGGAACACGGAAGTGGACAGCTTAGCAGGATGGAAGCCATCTGTGTATTACGTCATGCTGATCTTGTGCCTAGCATCACTCATCATTTCCTGTTGTGCCTCAGCTATGTACACTCCAATGGAAGGATGGAGCTACTTCGAGTCTCTTTATTTTTGCTTTGTGGCCTTCAGTACTATTGGTTTTGGAGACCTAGTGAGTAGCCAGAATGCCCAGTATGAGAACCAAGGCCTTTACCGATTTGGCAATTTCATCTTCATACTCATGGGGGTGTGTTGCATCTATTCTTTGTTTAACGTGATCTCTATTGTTATCAAGCAGTCCATAAACTGGATATTAAAGAAACTGGAGTGGACATGCCATAAATGCCAAAGAAAATTCTTCCGATCGCGCAGGAATGTTGTGGTGCCAGGGACTGCGCGGAACCAGCGCAACATATCCATTGAATCTGATGGTGTCCTAGAAAGCGATACAGATGGACGCAGAATGTCTGGCGAGATGATCTCCATGAAAGACCTTTTAGCCTCTAACAAAGTGTCACTGGCCATCATGCAGAAACAGTTGTCTGACAGTGCCAATGGCTTTCCGAGACAGATGAACAGTGTTCCTAGGCAGAACGGATTTGCGGGTGGAGTGGGTGCTTTGGGGATTATGAATAACAGACTGGCAGAGACAAGTACAGATAGGTAGACCTCAACACTGGGGGTCCATCAGTGGACACAAATTAAGTAAGAATGAAATGACATTCCAGAGACAGAACAAGCCTTTTAAAAGAGGGGATCCCTAATAGTTTTGCTGGTAGTTCTGTTGCTTTTGCATTAGGGCAACAATTTGCCCTACAGACTGCATTGTAGATGTTTCCATCAGATCATGCAGCTTTGCCTACGGACTTCTGCAGTCCATGTTCAGTTGAGGTCCAAGTTAGAAGCAAGGAAATGAATGTAATAATAACATGGGATGCTAACCTTTCTACATGGAAAACTCCATTCTGAAAGCTGCTTTGTTAGCTCCACTGTTTCAGCACCAAAGAATAATAGCGCTGGCAGAAAGGGGAACTTGCATCCTTGTGCTAACGTCAGGGCCTGGCCTTTCCCACAGCATTGGCATACGTTAGGCACTCATTATTTGCATCTTATTTGGATACTTCTCTAGCTTCATACTTTGAACTACTTTGGAATGCTAGTATAAAGAGTAACTGAAAACTGGATCTCCCACTAAGACCTGGGTGCATTTTCATATATCAGGCTGCACTGTAAATCATGCCTTGGTTGGTGTCAGAAGCACATTAGAGGATAAGACAATGATGTCTCATGGATTCATTATTATTGCAGTAGCAGCAAATCCATGCTGTGTATTTACAGCGATTCTTATTGTAGCTGTTCAGGGTATTATGGTGGTCACCCACACACTGAATCCTTTTCCCAGTAGAAAGTTGGCACTGGGAGAGTTCCTGAACAACCTGGAGCAGCTGCAAGAAAGGAAGCTATGAAACACTGAGATACCTACATTCTTTTTCAGTACTGACTAGAGTAAACCTGTTAAATCCATTGGTTTCATTCATCTGTTGACTCACCAGTTGGGATTATCCAACCAGAGTGGATTAACATCAAACACTTGATATGTTTGTGCCTTGATTCCTAAATAACAACATTACAACATTATACTCAGGTTTCCAGTGTTAAAAAAACTATTAAATATTTGCTGTTACTTTATATGCCCTTTCACACCACACAATTATAGCAGTATGGTGCCACTTTAACTGTCATGTTTCTATCTTATGAAAGCCTTAGATTTGCAGTTTGGAAAAAGGACATTTGGAACTGTCTAGTGCAGGTATGGGCAAACCCAGGCCCGGAGGCTGGATGCGGCCCCTTGGGCTCTTTTCTCAGGCCTTCATCTCTCTCATCATCCTATCCTTCCTTCCTTCTACCTTTCCTTCCTTCTTCTCTCCCTCCCTTACCTCCCTCCTTGTCCTTCCATTCTTCCTTCCCTTCCACCCTTTCCTCCCTCCTTCTCCTCCTTCCTTCCTTCCCTCTTTCCTCCCTCCTCTCCCTCCCTCCCTCCTTCCTTCCCTTTTGCCTTTCCTTCCTTCTCTGTTTCCTTCCTCCCTTCCCTCTCTCCCTCCATTCCCATCCACCCTTCCTTCCTTCTCTTCCTCCCTCCCTCCCTTCCTTCCTTCTCTTTTTCCTTCCTCTTTTCCTCCTCGAGGATGTTTAGCTAGGACAAGAGACAGTGGAAAGGGAACATGAGAACTAAGTTTCTAGATTTTAAAGGGTGTCCCATTGAGGAGGAGGGGAAAACTGATTTTCTGCTGTTCTAGAGACCAGGGCACAAGAGAATAATTGTTTCAAATGGCAGGGAAAGATATTCAACTGAAAAGATTAGGAAGAACTTCCTGGAGAGTGGCATAGGTTACCTCAGAGTGATAGAGTCTCCTTCTCAATAGGCTTTTCTTCAGAGGCTGTCTATTGGGAGTGCTTTGACTGTGCCTTCCTGCATAGTAGAAGGTCGAACTGGATGGCCCTTGGGGGTCTTTTCCAACTCTAGGATTCTATATCAGGAGTAGGCTATACAGGGTCTAATGGGTAAAGTTTTCCTCTGCCATCCACCATCTCATTCTGACCAAGACCATCCCCTTTGGGATCCAAACATTTCCTGTCTTTCCTTCATTTTCTGCCTCCAAAAGAGAAGAGGAAGGGGAGGAAAGAGCAGGGAGGTGACTTTGGGAGAACCCCCCACCCCCACCCCCCGGCTCAGCCACCTCGCTCTGACCCACCATGCATTTCCCAAGTTAGAAAGTTTGCCCATGCCTGGTCTAGTGTGACACCAAACTAACTTGGGGTTTGCATTTCTGAAAGGGATATTTAGAACTATTGTATCACCAAACAATACACTGTGTTGGTTAAAATTTGTATCGTAGTGTTATAATTCTGTAGTGTGAAAGGGTTTATGTCACTGGGAAACAATTGTTCTTTAATCTTTTCAGCCAGATAAAGAGCTAAACATTATATGTTTCCAAACAAAAGTATGAAACAGTGGTCCAATCTGAAAGTATTGTGCACTCGAAAGTGCTGTACGAGAATAGTTTTATGTATGAGAAGGTGCTGGAAGCAATCACTCAGAAAAGTAATTATGTGTCCATTGTTCAGAATTCATTTCCCAATTGCCTTTGAATTCAGAAAACGTGAGCAGCACTGTGCTTCTGTATAATGAAAACCATTGGAAACAGAACAGTTGATCTTTCTTCTGACCCTCAAGTTCCTTTGTCTTAGTACATACATCAAGATTTTCGTGCTCATGGGCCATCTAGTCAAACCCCATCCTGCTTTGCAGGAACACACAATCAAAGCACTACACAGATGGCCATCCGCTACTGTTTAAAAATCTCCAGAAAAGGGGACTTCAAATCATTTCCAGGAGGTGTATTCCACTGTCCAGCAGCTCTTACCATAAAGAACTTCTTCTTAATAGTTAGGTGGACTCTCCTGTAGTTTGAATCGTTTGCTCCATAGCCAGATCTCTAGAACAGCAAAAAACAAACTTGCCCCCTCCTCAATATCTTTTACAATAGTTAGAAATAGTTATGCTCCCTCTTAACCTTTTCATCTCCAAGCTAAACATACCCTGCTTCCTAAGTTGCTCCTCATGGGGCTTGTCTTACCATTTTGGACACCATTTCCTGGACACATTTCACTTGTCAATGTTTTTCTTGAATTGCAGTTCCCAGAACTGATCACAGTATTCCAAATGAGGTCTGGCCAAAGCATAATAGAATAGTACTATTATTTCTCTCAGTCTAAACCAGGCATGGCAAACTTGGGCCCTCCAGGTGTTTTGGACTTCAACCCCCACAATTCCTAACAGCCTTGGGCCCTTTCCTTTTCCTCTTCAGCCACTTAAGTGGGGAGGGGGAAAAGGAAGAGGCTTGAGGTTGTTAGGAATTGTGGGAGTTGAAGTCCAAAACACCTGGAGGGCCAAAGTTTGCCTATGCCTGGTCTAGACACTAGGCATGGGCAATCCATAGTTCTAAATGGTTCTAAAGTACTTGCAGAACTAGAGGACGCTGGTGCTTTGCTTCTAAAGTGTTACTAAAGTTCTGGTGGTGAAAATTTTAGAACTCCAACAAAACTTTCAAAGTATTGTCGAAGGCTTTCATTGCGATTTTTATGACAGAACCAATTAGGAACTACCATTTATAATGAAATTTTGAAAGTTTTGTTAGAGTTCTGAAATTTTCACCACCAGAACTTTAGCAACACTTTAGAAGCAAAGCACCAGCACCCCCTAGTTTTGTAAGTATTTTTGAACCATTTACAACCATGGATTGCCCATGCTGCCTACTAGACACTATGCTCCTATTGATGCAGCCAAGAATCACATTGCCTTCTTTAGATGGCATATCACACTGTTGGATGTGGATGTACATACATAAAATCACTGTCTCACACACAAAAGGGGTAGAACAAAGCACACATTTTTGCTTGAAAATAAAGACCTGCTGCCAGACACACACTATAATGCTAAACTAAATTGCTTAGAATCTTCAGGCATCAGTTTTCAAAAAGTAATGCCTACAGATGTTCCATTAGGAAAATTGGATGCATACTTATCACTATCCTCAATACACAGAACCCCAAGAAAAGGTGGTTGTTCCTAATCTAATCCCAAAAAGAGTGCTTAAAAACAAAAACCCATTCGTTTTACAGCTAAATTCACAGACTTGTTATTTAAATAGTGAACTGAAGTTATAATGTGTGATATAGAAAGAACAAAGAGAAATCAGCAGTAGAATTTTATTATCTAGGAATTCTGTCCATCAGTTTCATTAAACTGGAAACTTTTAACTTGGAGAGAGAGTGACTGTGATCTCCTAGGTATCTTTTTATTAAATGTTTTCATTAATGGAAGAAAGTGGGACTTTCTCTTCGTAATTTGAATATGATTCCAATGTTGAAGGTATTTCTTCTGGAAGGATTGTGGAATTACACACAGACTAACTTGAAGGCATCAAAAATTCAAGTGATATAAGTGGAATGAAATCCAGCATCACAAAATGTGCAGTGATGAATTTGAAAGTAAACAATAAAAGATGCTTGTTATTGGCTGTGGTGTTGTCTGCTGGAGGACATCTACAGTGAAAGAAAATTTGGGCTATTAAGGTGTGCATGTAACAGCTACATCAAGAAGGAATGTACTGCTTAGATATATTTGGTGAGCTGTCTCTAGAACAGTGGTTCCCAACCTGTGGTCTGTGAACCACCAATGGTCCCCAAGAACTAAAATATGGTCCACTGCCTCACCATTACTACACCATTGCAACGAGTGTGACTGGTCTTGCAAAACCCTCTTATAGTGCCTAGGCAATGGGGATGTTGGGAAGAGAGAGGCTGACTACCCATGAAAAGCATGACAGCAAAGCCTCCTTACTGCTGCTTCTCCTCCTCCCTCTCCCTGAGCAGAGCCATTCCATGTGGCACCTGGAAGTGGGGGCACCTTGGTGTCTTCGATTTTAGGTCTGTTTCTGGGGTTATTTGGGGTGTTGATTCAGAAAAATGAATTGGATAGACCACATCAGCTCTAGATTATTAAATATGGTCTTCTGTGGGTGAGCAGATGACTACTGGATGGCTGCCAGTTTGCTACCAGGCACTATTCAAAGTGCTGGTTTTAGCCTATAAAGCCCTAATTGGTTCTGGCCCAACTTACATGTCCGAACACATCTCCCCTTATGAATAATCTAGGACCTTAAAATCGTCTGGGGAGGCCCTGCTCTTGTTACCGCCTTTGTCACAAGTACGATTGGCGGGACCTTCTCGGTGGTGGCCCCTCGGCTGAGGAACACCCTCCCTATAGATATTAGATCGGTCACCTCCCTTTTAACATTCTGGAAAAAAGTCAAGACGTGGCTTTTTGAATGACTAGATAATAAGTCTGGACAACATTTTTAACAAGGAGACACTATGCATTGATATTTTATTAATTTGTTTAATTTTTATTATATGTTATGCAATTATCTCCTTCTGATAACTTCACTGTGGCGCACAAGGGACTAGAGAAGTGTTCATTGCAACGTATGAGTTTAGAGCTCTACTTTCCGTGAAAGAGCCAAAACTATAGCTGACAAGTAATGTTGTATGTGGTAATGTGGGACCATCATTCCCTGCAAAATA